CTCAAGGGGAACTCAGGCAGCAGGATACGCCCTATTCCCAGCAGGAATAATCTTAAACCTTAAACCTGGAACCTAAACTGGGAACGCCCTAAACAGGATTATCTTAAAACCGGGAACACCCTAATCTGCCTTGGTCCTTGAGCAAGGTCACTTACATTCAATGTCACTGCAACATGTCAGCAACATGGGGTACGCTGGCAAGGAAATTGTCATACCTACTTGGCTAATGGCTCCCAGCATATTCCTAGGTATTTGATTTCTTTTTGCAGCTATGTACATTGGATGATTTTCTTGATTTCTGTATCAGATAGTCTGTCATTGACATACAGTAACTAATGATTTTTGTATGTGATTTTATATCTTACAACTTTGGTGAACTCATTTATTAGTTCTAATCATTTTTGGTTGTGTTTTTTGGAGTTTTCTGTATATAAAATCATGTCATCTGGGGCTGGGGTTGTGGCTCAGTGGTAGAGTGCTTGCCTAGCATGTGTGAGGCCCTGGGTTCAATCCTTAGCAGCACATATAAATAAATAAAATAAAGGTCCACTGACAACTAAAAAAATTTTTTTAAAAAAATCAAATTATGCAAACAGTGATAATTTGACATCTTTTCCAACTTGGATGCCCTTTGTTTTTTTCCCTGACTAACTGCCCTGGCTAGGACGTAGAGCACTATGATGTGGAAGAGGATGGTAAAGCAGGCATCCTTGTCTTGTTTCAGATCTTGGAAAGTTTTCATCTTTTCCCCATGCAATATAATGTCAACTGCTGGCTTATTATTATAAATGGTCTTTATTGTGCAGAGGTACATTCCTTATGTGCCTAATTCATTTAGCATTTTTATCATGAAAAGATGTTGAATTTTATTGATCCATTTTCCATAATCACATTTGAATATTATGAACCATCCTTGCATTCCAGGGATTAATCCCACTTGGTCATGGTGCATAATCTTTTTAATATGCTGTTATATTTGGTCTGCTAGAATTTTATGGAGGATTTTTTGCATACATGGTCATCAAGGATACTGGCCTAGAGCTTTTTTTCTTTTGGGGGGGGGGTGGTGGTGGTCATTATTATTGCGTCCTTGTCAGATTTGGGTGTCAGGATAATCCCAGGCTCATCAAATGTCTTTGGAAGAATTCTTTCTTCTTCTATTGTTTTACATCTTTAAATGTTTGGTGGAATTCAGCAGTAAAGCCAGGTACAGTGGCACATGCCTGTCATCCCAGCAGCTCGGGAGGCTGAGGCAGGGGGATCACAAGTTCAAAGTCAGCCTCAGCAATTTAGTGAGGCTCAAAGCAATTTAGAAAGATCCTGTCTCAAAATTTTTTAAAAAAAATGGGTCAGGGATGTACAACAGTGGTTAAACACTCCTGAGCTAAATATCTAGTACCAAAAACATAAAAAAATCAGCAGTGAAGCCAACTGGTTGTGGGCTTCTCCTTGATGAGAGGCTTTGTATTACTGATACAATCTCATTACTTGGTATTGGTTTGTTCAGGTTTGCTATTTATTCATGTTTCAGTCTTGGTAAGATTTTTTACCTAGGAATTTATCCATTTCTTCTTCTTTTTTTTTTTTTTTTTAATTTTTTATTGTGGGTTGTTCAAAACATTACAAATTTTCCATTTCTTATAGATTATCAAATTTGTTGGCACATAGTTGTTCTTAAAAATCACTAATATCTTTGTATTTCTGTGTTGTCGGTTGTAATGTCTCCCTCTCCATCACTGATTTTGAGTCCTTTCTCTGCTCTTCTTAGTTATAGCTAAGGGTTTGTCCATTTTGTTTATCTTCGAAGAGCTAGCTCTGTTTCATTAATCTTATGTATTGCTTTTTAGTGTCTGACTCATTCATTTCTGCTCTGATCTTTATTATTTCTTTCCTTCTACTGATTTTGGGTTAGTTTGTTCTTGTTTTTCTAGTTCTTTGAGATGCAGCGATAGGTTGTTTAAGATCTTTCTACTTTTTTGATGTGGGCATTGATTGCTAAAAACTTTTGCTTTTGCTGTTATCTCATAGGTTTTGGTATGTTGTATCTCCATTTTCATTTGTTTCAAGAAATGTTTAGCTGGGACTGTGGCTCAGTTGATCTAAAGTAATTTCCATGTATTTATATAGTTCCCAAAGTTTTTCTTGTTTTGATTTCTAGCTTTATTGTATTTTGGTCAAAAGAATACTGTATATGATCTCATTTTTTTTTTATTTTTGAGACTTTTTTATGACCTATCATGTGATCTGTTCTCTAGAATGTTCCATGCACTGATGAGAAAAAAGTGTGTATCCATCATCTGTTGGATAGAGTGGTCTCTAGGTGTCTGTTAGGTCTATTTGGTGTAGGGTAGTTTGACTCTATTTCTTTGTTGATTTTCTGTCTGGATGATCATTGATAAAAGTGGGGGAGTTAAAGTCCTCAACTATGGTTCTTCTGGAGTCCATCTCTCTGTGTGTCTGTCGGTCTGTCTGACTCTCTCTCTCTCTAGGTCTATTAATACATGTTTTATAAATCCGGGTGCTCTGATATGAGGAGCATATATATTTAGAATTGTTTTTTCTTTATGCTGAACTGACCTCTTTATCATTATATGATGACCTTGTCTCTTTTGACTGATTTACAGTCTAGTTTATATGATATCGGTCTGGCCGCTCCTGCCTTCTTTTGGCTTCCACTTGCCCGGCACATCTTATTGCATCCTTTCACCATCTGACCATGAGTGTCCTCAGAGGGGAAGTGAGTTTCTTGTAAGCAACAGAGTTGGGTCTTACTTTTGTGTCCATCTGGTTACTTTGTCTTTTAATTGAGGAATTTAATACATCTCCCTTTATGGTAATTACTTACAGGTAAGGTCGTACTAGAAGCACTGTGTGACTTGTTTTCTGTTGTTTTTTTTTTTGTAATACCTTTCTTTATTTTTCCCTCTCTGATAATCTTTGTTGGTGATTAAGTGAATACTCGAGTAGTGTATTATTATTTTACATTATTTTTTATTTGTTTTGGATTTCTGTTTTTTTTTTTTTTTTCCTTCAGTACTATGAAAATATCACGCCACTAGCTCCTGGCTTACAAGGTTTCTCCTGCGAAGCCAGCTGTCAGATGAACTGGGGCACCCCATGTGTCTTGAGAAACTTCTCTTTAGCTTTTGCTTGAGAGGGCTTGATTATAAAATGTCTTGGGGTAAACTTGGGTGAGTTAAATTTGACTGGTTGACTTTGACCTTCCTGTTCTTGAACATTTGCATCCTTCTCTGGATTTGGGAAGCTTTCTCTGAATATTTCTTTGAATAAACTTCCTACAGGACATTTCCGAAGGACATTCCCAAGTCCTCCCTGAACCCCAAGAACCTTAATATTTGCTCTTTTTTAAAAAGATATTTTTTTAGTTGAAGATGGATACAATGCCTTTGTTTCTATTTATTTATTTTTATGGGGTGCTGAGGAGCGAACCCAGGGCCTCACACGTGCTAGCACTGAGCCCCAGCCCCAGCCCAGTATTTGCTCTTTTAATGCCAGCCCAGGGTATAAGCTTTCTTCATGACTCGTCACTTTTTCCTTTTTTCTCCTTCAACTGTGTATTCTCAAATGGCCTGTCTTTGAGCCAGTTCTTTCTTCTGTTTATTCTATCCTTCTATTGATACCTTCTATCACATTTTTAACTTCACTGAGTGTAATTTGTCAACTCAATAATTCAATTTTTTTTTAAATCGCTTTCATCTCTTTGTTAAGTTCCTTAGAGTATTAAAACTCTGTGATTTCCTCCACCCTGGTTACTGCCTGGTAAGTTTCTAGCCCCTTATTCTGAGTACCAGGTGAGGCCATGGTTTTCTGAAAGCTCTCAAAGCTTGTTAGTCTGTGGGATCATCCAGGTGTGCAAGATCAGATATTTATTCTGTCTTCCCGGTCAGGCTTTGTTTGTGCATGTCTTTCCAGAAATTCTAAGCAATCCAGGCCCAGGTTTAACCCAAATACCCTGTCGATGTGTTGTTCAGAAGATGAGGCAAGCACCTAGAGAGAGAAGTCTTTCCCCACAAGCCTCTCCCAGGTCAGGGTCGGCCTGATGCCCTGTCCACAGTTGCTGGTCTAGGGTCAGACACTGCAGGATTCTGCCAAGTTCTGTCAGTCACCATGGAGAGAACAGCCCAGCTCCTGTCATACCTATGGCCATCAAAGCCACCAAGCTTTGTCAGACCATGAGCCCCCACAGCCCCCAAGACTAGCACAACACTGGAATGGGACCGAAACCCCTGCAATCAGCCACAGCTGACGCTAGCTAGGAGCCCAGGAGAACGGGGCTCTGGCTTCCCCTGGCTTTGGAGCAGTGGCAGAGGCTCCATTCACAGGCAGGCCTCAAGAAGGGGCCATTAGGACCTGCCCAGCGTTAGTTTCACCTGCAGCACTAAGTTCCATGGCTAAATCCTGTGCTTACCACCTGCCTACCCCATCGAATGGAGTCTGGCCCCATCTGTGCCGCTCAGGGCTGGGGTGGCACTGGTAAAGGCGGTCCCCTGGCCACCTGGGCTGATGCTCAGCTGGGCATGACTGAGTCTCACAGCCACAAGGCCCTGTGCAATCCCAGAGGTGCACTAAGGAGCATGCCACATTGGGTGGTGACGGAGGCCACAACGTGCATCAGTCCTACGAGGCTCAGTTCTCTTCTGCTGCCAGGTCGATTCTGGAGCCGGTTTGTGAGCACTGGCCTAGTGATAGCTGTGCTGCCCCAGGTCGAGGGATGGGAAGTGGAGATAGTCCCTTGTCCACCCGGGCTCACACCTAAGTCTCAAAGCCACAGGGAGCAGGCGCTCTCAGCATTAGCCTATGAGTGTCATTTACCATTATCATCATCATCCCCATTTCACAGATGAGAAAAGGCACAGAGAAGGCAACACTTAGCCCAAGGTCACACAAATATCAAGCAGTGAAGCCAGGAGGCAGCCCAAAGCAGCCTGATTTTAGAGTCTGCATTTTTAACCAAATTGTGATTCTGCCTCCACTCTAAGGTGAAAGAAGGGTATTTCAAGCACTATAAAATTCCTGTGTCAAGGGCTCCCTTTCAACCTCGTCACTTGAAGAAGCTCTGCTTGACCTTCCTCCAACCCCATGGCCAAGAGAGTTGCAGTGATTGGAGCTGGTGTGAGTGGCCTGTCCTCCATCAAGTGCTGCTTGGATGAGAACCTGGAGCCCACCTGCTTTGAGAGAAGTGATGACTTCGGGGGACTTTGGAAGTTCACTGTGAGTGGTCACACCCTTCCATCTCCATCAGTCACACTCTGGCCACTGGCTTTGTTTCTGGTCAGAAATGGTGGCTCTTGCCTGCCTTGGTGATCAAGTGAGGGAGTAGCTCACTCTGTTCACAGACATGTGCATGGTGCAGGGATAGACGCTGTGCAGGACACGGTCTCAGGGAGGAGCCTGGAGTGCAGGCAGAGCATGGCTGGGGACAGGGAAGAGAAAGGAGGAGACTTGAGTCTGATAGGGTATTGGGATGATTTCTGAGCCCAGACATTCTAAAAGTAGCAGAGTGTCCCCTCAAGTAAGCAGAGCAGCACTGGTGAACAGGGATACCTCCCAGCTAGGGAGGAAGCCAGCATCAGGCGGTGGAGGCACAACCACCAGGTATTTTTCAGGTCTTTAGAAAGAAAACCTGCAAGAGTGAGGCAGGATCCCAGGCCTTGGAAGGTCTGGTGGGTAAGGGAATAGCTTTTGCCTTATCAGAACAGAAAGAACCCAGGAGCTGACCAATCCGTCTTACAAGTAGAATGTGCCGTGTGCAGAGCTGTGCTCAGGGTAGGTCAGCGGTTAGGTGACTTGAGCATCAGAAAGTGGGTCTGGAAGTGGCTAGATACTTGCCTCAGGCCAGGAATGGTCCTGAGGACCATTGGTTACAGGGAGTAGCAGGGTATTCAACAGGGACTAAGGGAGAATTAGAAGGTGTCAGAAGATAGGATCCAGGCAGGTCCAAGTACTCAGCATCTCAGGGGGAAAAGCAAAAGCAACATCCATTCAATGGTATGAATGAGGAAACCTTCGTGAAAGAGATGGCATTTGCCCAATCTTTCATAGATGGTGGAGAAAATAGAAAATGCAGCAGGAGTGGTCCAAACCCTAGGGGAATAGGGTACCAGGGGGAAAACAACAATGCCACCTTTTTCTAATACAGTCTGAGTCTCAACAGGACACGACGATTGGTTTGATTTCTTTCTCCTAAAATAATACAGATTAATTTTAAAAAATAATGTTGAATTAAACAAAAGGAAAAATACAAATAAAATATAGTAATATACCCACATGTCAGCACTATTAAAATTACAATGTTATTCTTCAAATCACAATGATAATCTTAATTTTCATTCATTCGATAATGTCCTTCTGCCAGGACACAGACAGGGACCCTGCCCTCCTTTGTCGAGTGGAGAAATAGAAACAGCAAACAGATCATTGCAACATGGTGTGACCAGTTCTGCGTTAGAAGTGCAAGAGACTTCTTAGGTAGAGTTAAGGAGAGACTGGAGGGAAAGATGCAGGTTCGCCTCACCACAAGAAATTCACCGGTGTCTTTAGATCTTCTTGTTTTGCTGAGTGATGGAGACTGAGAGCAGACAGCCAGCTGAGGGACACGGGAGAACACAGAGGCTAATGGTGATTCTTTCCTGCGGACTGAGATGGGATGAAGAGAGATGGGGTACAGGGGACATAGGTTGTTTTGTGCTGATGGGAAGGAGCCAATAAAGAGACAGTGATGAAAGTATACATAGACAATAGTGAGGAATATCAGCGGGGGTTCCCTGCTCAGAAAGGACTGAGGTGGTGCACACCTGTAATCCCAGTGGCTCTGGAGGATGAGGCAGGAGGATCACGAGTTCAAAACCAGACTCAGCAAAAACCAAGGTGCTAAGCAACTCAGTGAGACCCTGTCTCAAGATAAAATACAAAATAGGACTGGGGATGTGACTCAGTGGTCGAGTGCCCCTGAGTTCAATCCCTGGTTACCCCCTCAAAGGAGGACAATAACCAGAGCAAGTGTGCAAGCAGTAGCCATGGTAAGGGGCGAAGGAAAAGAACACTGAGCAGGCCATGGGCTCTGCATTCTCGGAGTCCACTGAGGATGACGTTGGTCTTGGGGGGGCCTGTTACCTTTCATCACTTCTTGCAGTTTGAGGAAGATGCTGTATTCAATTACTCCAATCGTACTACTGCTTCCTCATCGTTAGAGCACGGGGACCCAATGTTGGGTTTCCTGGAACTCTTCAAAATGACAAGTGGAACAGTAACTGCTGTGATGCCCTCTCAGCTGGGCTAGCACGAGCCACCAAGTTCTCTGTTCTCTTCCGCCTGTCTCCTTCATTCTGTCCGACTAACTCTGCCTTCACCGCAGGAAGATTCCAAAGATGGGATGACCAGGGTCTATCGGACGTTAGTGACAAATGTCTGCAAGGAAATGTCATGTTATAGTGACTTCCCTTTCCAAGAAGATTATCCCAATTTCATGAGACATGAGAAATTTTGGGACTATCTACAAGAATTTGTTGAGCGCTTTGACCTCCTGAAATACATTCGGTTTAAGGTAAGATATTTTGGGTTATGCAAGTTTAATGAATGGGAGCTGGTCTCTCAGGGATGTTTAAAGGAACATTTTCTTGATTTTTACCTCTGTATAAATCAGGCAGATAACAATGTCTCCTCCTGCTGCTCCTGTTCTACTCAGATCATTAAAATACTGAATATCCTGATTTTTCCTCTAAATGCTGAACTCTCATTTGGGATGAAATTAATTTATTTTGGGGGGGAAGAAAAGGAAAGTAATTTTGTTCACTAAACTCATTAGGAAGAAATGACTAGAAGTCTGAACCACAGAAATTACAACGGAGAAAATCTCATTTTCCTACATCTTTCCACTGCCTCGGGTATTGCAGTTCATTTTCTTCCCACCAGGATTAAAAACTTGCAATGCAAGCACTCAGAGGTCTTGGGTCCTGGTCTGGGAGTCTGCACACGCTACCGCACTCCTCCCTTCAGCCCTCACCGGCTCCTGCGGGAGGGCCTGGTCTACTTCACATAGCAGGTCTGGGGGCCGAGCCAGGCACCGCCATGCTCAGAGGCTGGGGCAGGAAGCCAGTGTTTGTCTGTCACTTGTAGACCACTGTGTGCAGCGTGACAAAGCGTCCAGACTTCTCCGAAACGGGTCAGTGGGATGTCGTCACAGAGACGGAGGGCAAGCAGGACAGAGCAGTCTTTGATGCTGTCATGGTGTGCACAGGACACTTCCTGAGTCCCCATTTGCCTTTGGAGTCCTTTCCTGGTGAGTCGTTTTGACCCACAACCATGCCTACTCTTTGGGGTTCCTCTAGAAGAAACATTATTGATTTGTAGTTGAAATTGCCACGATTATAGACAACTTTCTATTTACTCTAAAAAAAAGTACAAAATTACTTTGAAAGGTACAAAGCACTGTGCAGATATCAGGTCTTATTATTTACTTATTAATATAAGTGTCATTGTTTAAGCTTTATCATACATGTCTAATTCAAGTTCAGTGATTAAATAAGGTTCTGAACTATTAGGTCTGTCATTAAAAAAAAAAAAAAACCAAAAAACAGGTTTTGATTTTGGAGGTTGAATGGCAGGACATTTGAATCAAGACTGCCCTGTAGCTCAAGAATTTAAGTGAGTATCAGGAAGTCTGACAGATTGTTTTAAGTTGAAACAACCAGAAAATATACATGAAGAAGAATCTATTCACCTTTCAAAAGTCACCACAATAATGATCCATTCATTATACCTCTTAGATCAGGGCCATCCATATACAGGAGCTTTTGAAACTCCTTTTTGGAAATGCTTTTAACTCCAATAGCACATTCTTAGTATACTCATGATCAGCAAATCTCTGTCTCAAACCTTCATCTTTTGAGATCAAAACTGATTATTTGGGAAGCCCAAACCTATTCAGAACCAGGCATAGAAAATAAAGTCAAATGAGAATTACTAAAATATTGTATAGCTACTCTTCTGTCACTAATGGCTCTAAAGGCAACTGAATAAGTATTGAAATTTTTTGAGGGAGTGAAACCACTTAGATGGAAAGGAAGTGTGTAAATAATAAAACTTGTTGACCTTGGCAACCAAAAAATGAAATATAAATATCATAAAAGCAATCATAATTAAACAGAATGTCCTTAACAATAAAGTGAGAATTCAATCCTGGCTTTAGTAAGAAGCTTGGGCTTAGGTAGGCCCGGAGGCTGAAGGAACACATAACGCCTCTTATAACAATGTTTCCACGGGAAAATGTCTGGCACCAGACAACCTGTTCAGAATCTCAGGGCTGTTCATGTGGTGCAAAGTCCCTTTCAATTCCCAGCAGACTGGCACTCTCCCACAGGCCATCACCTGGTTCACATGAAATATGGGAGGCAGAGGTGAGAAGATCACAGGTTCAAGTCCAGACTGGGCAACTTAGCAGGACCCTGGCTCAAAATGAAATTTTTAAAAAAGGGCTGGGGATGTAGCTCAGAGGTAGAGTGCTTTCCTAGCATGCACAAAGCCCTGGGTTCAATACCCAGTATTACAAAGGGGAAAAAAATTAATGTGTAAACATTTTATGTACATAAATCACATTCTTTTTAAATTGTTTATTTTTAATGAACACATAAAAGTATACATATTTGTGGGGTAACATGATGTTCTTATAAATGTGTACAATGTGTAACGTTCTATGTGGGTAAACATATCTATCTCCTCTTCATTTGTTAGTACTTTGTGGTTAAAACATTCCAAATCCTTTCTTTTAGCGTTTTTGAAATATATGGGATGTTGTTATTTATAATTACCTTGTGTGAGAACATCAGAACTTACTTCACTTATGCCTCCCCCTTCTCTCTTGCCTTGGATAACCACTATTTCTACTCCCAAAATCTAGGAGATAAACTTTTCTTACATTCCACCTATGAGTGGAATCATGCAGTGCTTGTCTCTTTGGGCCTGGCTTAATTCCACTCACCATGAGGACCCCCAGGTCCCACCACGTTTCCTCACATAACAGGATCCATCCTCCTTTGTGGCTGAGTGGTACCCACTGTGTGTGTATATATACAACGTTTTCTTTGTCCATTCATCAACTGATGGACACTTGGGCTGTTTCCAGTCCTTGATTATTGTGAATCATGCTGCAATAAATCATGCAAGTGCAAATGTCTCTCCTGTAAATCAGTTTCATTTCCTCTGGATACACACCCAATAGAGGGATTGCCGGATCACGGGGCAGTTCTACTTCTCATCTTTTGAGGAAACTTCACACTGTTTGGCACAGTAGCCACCCTAATTTGCCTTCTGCCGACAGTGACCAAGGCTCCCAGTCCTCCACACCCTCACCAGCGCTTGCTCTTATCTTGTTTATCACTGCCCTCCTAACTGCAGTGAAGTGGGATCTCACCATGGTTTGACATGCATTTCCTAATGATTAGTGATTTGAGAATTTCTTTCCAGAAATTAGCCATTCATAGATCTTCATTAGATAGATATTTAGGTGTATTGCCCTTTTAAAAAAAAAAAAATCAGATGATTTGGTTTTTTGGTTTGTTTTTGCTACTGAGTTGATGAAGTTCCTTATATATTCCAGATACTAACCCCTTGTCAGGTGTATATACTGCAGATATTTTTCCCATGCTGTAAGTTGTCTTTCACTCTATTGTTTCTTTTGCTGTGCAGAGCATTTTAGTTTGATTTGTACACCCTGACTTGTGTTGCCTAGGCTTCATTTTTATTTATCCAAAAAAAATCCTTGCCCCATTTCAATGTTCTAAAGCCATTCACCCATTGTTTTCTTCCAGTACTTTCATGGTTTCAGGTCTTTTTTAAGTGTTTTGTCCATTTTGAGTTGTTTTTTTGTGTATGGTGAGAAATCGTGGTCTAGTTTCATTGTTCTGCATGTGAATATCCATTCACTGAAGAGAATGTCCCGTCTCTGCAGTGTGTCTCTTCAGCACCTCTGTTGAAGACAGTTGCCTGTGGGTGTGTGGGTTTACCTCTAGACCTAGTCTGTTCTGTATGCCAATACCAACCATGCCATTTTGATGACTGAGTCAGATTTGTGGTATGTTTTGAAGTCAGGTAATTTAATGATGCTTGTTTTGTTTTCTTATTTCTGTTTTTAAAATTGCTTTGGCTAACTGGGAATTTCTGTGGTTCCAAATGAATTTTAGAAGTATTTTCTAGTTCTGTGAAGAATATCATGGGTGTTTAGATGGGGATTGCATTGACTCTGCAGGTTGCTTTTAGCAGTATGGACATTTTACCAACGTTAATATTTTAATCCATGAACATGGCATGTCTTTCCATTTTTTAAATGTCCTCTTCAATCTCTTTAATCAGTGCTTTAAAGTTTTTATTGTAGAGATCTTTCACCTCTCTGGTTAAATTTATTTGTAGGTATTTTATTCTATAACTGTGGTAAATGGGACTGTTTTCTTGATTTCTATTTCAGAGTATTGCCATTGGCATATAGCAATGCTACTGATTTTTATATGTTGATTTTGTATCCTCCAACTTTGTAGAATTCATCTATTATTTCCAATAGTTCTTCTGTGAAGTCTTCGGGTTTTTTTTTAATGTAGATATATAAAAGCATGTCATCTGCAAATGTGGACAATATGACTTCCTCCTTTCCATACTGATGGAGTTTTCTTTAGCCTGATTGATCTGGCAAGGATTTCCAGTAGTACAATGTTGAATGAAAGTGGTGAAAGTGGCATCTTTGTCTTGTGCCAGATCTCAGAAGCCCTCAGCCTTTTCCCACTCAGTATGATGTTAATTGTTGGCTTATTATATATGGCCTTTATTATGTTCAGATATGTTCCTTCTCTACCTAATTTGTTTAATGATTTTATCATGAAAGGATATTGAATTTTATCAGAAGCCTTTCTACATCTATTTAAATGATTAGGTAATTTTTGTTATTTGTTCCTATTGATGTGTTGTATTGCATTTATTGATTTGCATATGTTGAACCATCCTTGCATTCCTGGGGTGAATTCTGCTTGATTGTGGTGAATAATATCTTTAGTGTGCTGGTGAATTCAGTTTGTCATCATCTTGCTGAGGATTTATGCATCTATTCATTTATTCATCAGGGACATTGGCCTATTAGCCTCTTTTTTGTTGTGAGCTTGTCTGGTTTTGATATGGGGCCTCACAGAATTAGTTTAGAAGAATCTCCTCTCTTCAGTTTTTTGGAATGGTTTAAGCAACTGTTGGTGTTCATTCTCCTTTAAATGTTTGATAGAATTCAGCAGTGAAGGCATTTTGTCCTGAACTATTTTTGGTGGGAGACTTTTTATTATTGAGTCAGTCTTGTTACTTATTTACCAGTCTGTTCAAATTTTCTATTTCTTCATGTTTCAGTCTTGGTAAGGTACATGTACCTGGAAATTTGTCTGTTTAGGTTTACTATGTCTTCATAATTCAGTCTTGATAAGGTCTGTGTGTCAACAAATCTGTCCATTTTTTTTAGGTTATCAAATTTGTTGGTGGATAGCTTTTTATTTCTGTGGTCAGTTGCAAGCTCCCTGATATTATAAGTCTTCTCTTTTGTTTCTTAGTCAAGCTAAGAATTTGTTTATTTTCTTTATTATTTTGAAAAACCAGCTCTTCATTTCATTGATCATTTAAATTTTTTTAGTCTCCCTTTAATTTGTTCTAATATTTATCATTTCTTTCATTTATTAATTTTTGGTTTAGTTTTTTCTTGTTGTTTTACTTCCTTAAGGTGCAATGATAGGTTTTTATGTGAGATCTATTTATCTATCTTTCTTTCTTTTGGTACTGGGAATTGAACCCAGGGATGCTTTACCACTGAGCTACATCCCCAGCCCTTTTTATTTTGTGACAGGGTCTCACTAAGTTGCTGAGGCTAGCCTCAAACTGTTGATCCTCCTACCTCAGCCTCCCAAGTAACAGGGATTACAGGAGTACACAACCATGCTCAGCCTTCCTATTTTTTTGATGTGGGCATTGATTGCTATAAACTTCCCTCTTAGTGCTGATTCTGCTGTATCCTATAAGTTCTGTTTTGTTTTGTTTTTTTTTTTTTTTTCCATTTGTTTCAAAAGATTTTAAAATTTCCTTCTTAATTTATTCCTTGATTCACTGGATGTTCAGGAGTAAGTTCTCTATGTATTCATATAGTTTCCAAAGTTTTTCTTGTTTTTCTAGTTTTATTGCATCATAGAAAAAAGATTCTTTAATAATATTTCAATTCTTTAAATTTGTTGAGACTTTTCTTGGCACCTACAATATGATCTACTCTAGAGAATGTTCCATGTGATGTTGAGAATAATGTTTATTCATTGGTTGATAGAATGTCCTGTAGATGTCTATTAGATCCATGTGGTCTAACTCTGCTATTTCTTTATCAATTTTCCGACTGGATGATCTGTCCAGTGATGAAAGAGGGAATGTTAAAAGTTCCCTACTATTATTGCATTGGTCTGTCTCTCTCTCATATATATTCATATTCTCTCTCTCTCTCTCTCTCTCTCTCTCTCTCTCTCTCATATATATATATGTATATGTATATATATATATATATATATATATATATATGTATATATATATATATGCTTTAGTGCATATTATATTTAGTGCACATTATTTTTTATTATATTTAGTGCACACAATATTTGGTATATATTTATAATTATTTCCTCTTGCTAAGTTGACCTTTTTATTATTATACTATTATGTATGGCCTTCTTTTTATTTAGTCTACTTTATGTGAAATTAGCATAACTATTCCTGCTTTATTTTGGATTGTCATGCAATATCTTTTTCCATCCCTTCACTTTGAGTCTTTATATGTCTTTAGAAGTGCATTTCTTGTAAGCAGCATATAGTTGGGTCTTGTTTTTATCCATTCAATCACTCTTTTAACTGGAGAATTTAACCATTTAAACTTAAGGTCTTTAATAATAGGTAAGGTCTTACTACTGCCATTGTTTTCTAATTTTATTTCAATTCCTTTCTTTCTTTCTCCCTCCCTCTCATATAGTCTTCCTTCGTGTATAAGTGATTTACTCTAGTAGTGTGTTTTTATTCCTTTCTTATTATTTTTGATACATCTATAGCAGATTTTTGCTTTGCTGTTACAGTGAGATTTATAAAAAAAGAATTTTGTGATAATAACAAGCTATTTTGAAATGACAATAACTTAACATTGATCATAAAAATAGGGAAAGAAACAAAAAGAGAGAAGAAATACTAATTAAAAATTTTACCATTGCCCTCCATTCTTCTCTACATTTTTAATTTTTGTTATCCTATTTTCTATCTGTCTATATTACCTATTTCTTAACATATTGATGTAGTTATTATTTTTATTTATTTTGGCTTTTAGTCTTCACATGAAAGATATGAATGGTTTGTGCACTATTTATTTTATTAAAGCATTCTATATCTGCCATCACAATTACTCTTACCAATGAGTTTTGTTTTTGTTTTTGTTTTTTTGTTTGTTTGTTTGTTTGTTTTTTAGTTTGAGATGCTTATTCAGACTCCAAAAGAAGAAGATGTTAATTACCTAGTTGGATATGAGTGTAGCACTCATGGGAGAAATTATAATTGAGTATAATAATGTAGATGGGGTGTCATTATTGGGGACTAGAAATAACCTACTTCTTCCCTAGGATGTTCAGGATAGTGCATGTGACGTTTCTTACTATCTGCAATGAGTTTTATTTCCCAAATTGCTTTGAAAGGGAATGGACACGCAATATATGATCCTGTGCATTTCTAACCAGGCAGGGTGTACTACAGGTATATCTGGGCTAACTGCATCCCAGGAAACAGGAGCATCATAAGCTTGTTCTACTTCCTGCAACTAGTGGCAGGAGCAAAGGGCTGCCATATTTCTGGAACTTCCTTTTTTTAACAAACCCTATTCCTGCTTGCTGGGGAATTACAGCCTCGGGTATTTCAAACTGTCTAATCCTTTCCTCTCCTCAGGAATCCATAATTTTAAAGGCCAGATCCTGCACAGTCAAGAGTACAAGAGCCCAGAAGGCTTTCAGGGGAAACGTGTCTTAGTGATTGGTCTTGGGAACACTGGAGGAGACATTGCGGTGGAGCTCGGCCGAACAGCAGCTCAGGTACCACTTCTGAATCAGTGCCCTACTCGTGTCTTCATCCTTGGCGTCCAGAGACACGTTCTCAAGACAAGAACGCCTGCGGGCCAGTTCCTAATTGTGCTGACGTGGGCAAGTGAATAAACTGAAAGTTTTCAGGGCCACTGTTTTAGAAGCCAATTAACAGAATTGAACCATCTCCAAAGAGTCTAGGAAGGGTGTCAATGCCAGGCCACAGTCATTTTTCAGAAGTGCTCCTTCAGGAACAAACCAAGTGGGCAGAATGCTCCAACCCAGGCAGTTGACCTGTTTTTAACTCACTCTTTGCAATTCCAGCAAAACCCCACATAAGAACAGAAAGAGGAGGTTGTTTTCTGGATGTCTCCAAGTTTTCTACTAGAAACCAGATTTATACCTTGGTTTAAGATAAAAGCAACCTTTTCTTTGCCTAAGAAGTATATATAATGATTTTAGAAAGCCCAAACATAAAATCACAAAAATCTAAATCTATTCCACTTCAGCATAAAGTATAAGATAATGATTAGATGTGGGAAAGAATATGTTGGCGTTTAATTCAGTTAAAATTGCTTTTCCAAGCCCTCATCTAAAATTTTATATTATTTACATATAAAAAATTGCCAGGTCAATACTGTGTACCTCAAAACATTCTAATCCTGTTCTTATAATTCTATAAACATAATGAAATTCTTAACATAACTAAATCGGGTAAAGTGCTTTTTAGAACACTGACAACAGGAATATGTAACTCATATGTAGATATATGGGAAAAATTTATAAAAACTCTGTTAGAAGACCAGAATGCTGTAAGACTACTTAAAACACAGTTGAATAAAAGTACTACAAAATGATGACACGTATTCATCCCTGTTGCCTTACTTTCTAGGTACTTCTCAGTACTAGAACTGGCACCTGGGTTATCAGCCGCTCTTCAGACAGAGGCTACCCTTTTAACATGATGATCACAAGAAGATGCTATACGTTTATTAACCAACTGCTGCCTCCATGTTTCATAAACTGGATTCAAGAGAGGCAGATGAGTAAAAGACTAAACCATGAGATTTATGGATTGAGTATCACAAAGGGGTACTTCAATTCTTTTATTTCATAGAAAAATTTTTATTTATTTATATTCTTTACTTTTTATTATCATGCAATAACTGCAATGCTGATGGGGTTCATGGTGATATTTCCAGATAGATAGATAGATAGATAGATAGATATAGATAGATAGATATCTCCACACACCCTCTTCCCAATCTCTCTGAATCAATGTTCTACTTTCAGATTGACTTTTTTAGCTTCCATGTATGAGAACATATGGTTCTTGTCTTTCTGTGTCTGGCTCATTTCACTTAACACAATGTCTTCCAGTTCCATCCGCTTCAAATGACGGCATTTCATTCTTCTTTATGACTCAATAGAACTCAGTTGTACACATATATGCATTTCTTTATCCCTTCTTCTATTGATGAACACCTAGGCTTACTCCATACCTTAGCTACTGTGAAGAATGCCAAAATAAATGGGCATGCAGGCATTGCTTTGGTGTGATAATTTCACTTCCTTTAAATATGTACCCACAACTGGGGATTAGCTGGAGCACATATGGTAGATCTATTTTTGCTTTTTTGAGGACCCTTTATACTATTCTCCACAATGGTTGTACTCATTTACATTCTCACCAACAGTGTATAAAAGCTCCTTTTTCTCAATAGCCTCACCAGCATTTGTGACTTTTTTTATTACAGCCATTCTAACTGATAAGGTAGTATCTCATTATAGTTCTTATTTGCATTTCTCATGGGAAATATTTTAAATCAATATTTTTTATTCTATATTATTCAGAACTTGAGATGTGCAATAACAAAAGTAGGGATTCAAGAAAATGAAGGGTGCTGTCATTTGCAGCTTGAAAATCAGGAAATTCAGAATGGCCCTGAAGACCCTTGAAAATGCTGCCATGTGAAAAATACAGTGTGGCAGCATCCGTGTGTGCAGCTGGTCTGTTCTCACCAGTCTATAATGAATGTTCTGGCAGAGTGAGGAGGAGGTCTGCACTCACAGTAGCATTTCCTGAAACGATGTGTGGTGATGCACCTCTGCACAGAGCTGCACACTGCCGAGGGGGGGAAAAGGCTGAAATGGGTATAATAAGATCATTAAAATGTCATTTTTATCATGTGCTGACCCAAATATTCTTTGGTAAGATGCATTTCAACCTTCAACTTATAAAAAAAAAAAAAAAACTAATGGCTCTTGATTTTATTTCTTGCACTCTAGGAGTCTTATTACAGAAGTCAGGGCCTAATCCCACATGATGAAGATTTGGGTCTACTTTTTCTTCTGTTAGGTACAGGGTCTCTGGTTTAATTCCTAGGTCGTTGATGCACTTTGAGTTGAGTTTTGTGCCTGGTGAGAGACAGGGGCTTAATTTCATTTTTAAGAATTAAAAAATGGGATGGATTTAAACTAAAAGTCTTCTCAGCAAAAGAAACAATCAGTGAGGTAAATAGAGAGCCTACACTTTGGGAGTGAATTTTTACCATATGCACATCAGATAGAGCCCTAATCACTAGGATATATAAAGAACTCAAAAATCTTAACACCAAAAAACAAATAACCCAATCAATAAATGGTCCAAGGGACTGAACAGACACTTCTCAGAAGATGATATACAATCAATCAACAAATATATGAAAAAATGTTCAACATCTCTAGCAATTAGAGAAATGCAAATCAAAACTACTCTAAGATTTCATCTCACTCCAGTCAGAATGGCAGCTATTAAGGATACAAACGATAAGTGTTAGCGAGGATGTGGGGAAAAGGCACATTTATACATTGCTGGTGGGACTGCAAATTGGTGCAGCTGTGGCGGAAAGCAGTATGGAGAATATTTGGAAAACTGGGAATAGAACCACCATTCGACCCAGCTATCCCTCTCCTGGGTCTATACCCAAAGGGCTTAAAAACAGCATACTACAGGGACACAGCCACCTCAATGTTTATAGCAGCACAATTCACAATAGCTAAATTGTGGAACCAACCTACATGCCCTTCAGTAGATGAATGGATAAAGAAAATGTGGCATATATACACAATGGAATATTACTTAGCAATAAAAGAGAATAAAATCATGGCATTTGCAGGTAAATGGATGGAGTTAGAGAAGATAATGCTAAGTGAAGTTAGCCAATCCCAAAAAACTAAATGCCGAATGTTTTCTCTGATATAAGGATGCTGATTCATAATGGGGATATGGGGGAACATGGGAGGAACATAGAGGAAATTTAGATAGGGCAAAGGGGAGGGAGGGGAAAGGAGAGGTGGAGGTAGGAAAGACAGTGGACATCCATTACCCAAAGTATATGTATGAAGACACTTTGTGTATAACCAGAGACATGAAAATTGTGCTCTATATGTGTAAAATGAATTGAATTGCATTTTGCTGTCATATATAACAAATTAGAATAAAATTTTTAAAAAGATTAATATGGTAAAAAAAAAAAAACTAATGGCAAAGGATGATCAGATGTGTAAATCTAATAAAGACAGCATGTCTGATGATTAGGCAGAACGGTGCTCACGATGAAAATACTTATCAGCATAAGTAGACTCAAAGTTGGCATTGAAAGAGTTTCTTAGTAATGTCCTCTTTGCCTGATGTCATTCCTAAAAGTATAGGTGACATGAAATCCCAAACTTGTCATCCAGTGATTTGTTATATACTCAGTGCTAACACTTCAAGATAAAAAAAAAAAAAAAAAAACTCTAGAAATTAATTATAAGAGAGAGAGAATTGTAAAATTGAGTCAGGAAAAAGTGGGGTCAATCATTTTCCACGTGTCTTCTACTGGGAACAAGAAAAGAAAACGTGTTATAAACAGTAACCAGACAACTCTGAATCAGACATCATGACTGATGAATAACTGGACACTCACTTCTTTGGCTTGACAGATCGTTTACCTTAACTGACTGAATAAATCATTGGCTAGAGTATTTCACAACTATAACCACAATGAATATTTTTCTCTTCTGTGTCAAAGGAAGAAAAAAAAATTCATCGTGAATGACGAGCTGCCAACCTGCATCCTATGTGGGCTGGTCACTATGAAGACCGGTGTGAAGGGATTCACAGAGACCTCTGCCATCTTTGAAGATGGGACAGTGGAGGCCGACATTGATATTGTCATCTTCACTACAGGATACATATTTTCTTTTCCCTTTCTTGAAGAACCTCTCCAAAGCCTTTGTAGAAAGAAGATATTCCTACATAAGTGGGTCTTTCCCTCAAGCCTGGAGAGAGCAACATTAGCCATCATTGGCCTTATCAGCCTTAAGGGGTCCATCTTATCAGGCACAGAGCTCCAAGCACGGTGGGCCACAAGAGTGTTCAAAGGTACCTTGGCTATTTAGTTAGAGTCCTGTATGATCAGCCAAATCTTAAAATCATCTCCCTGCCGTTTAGCTAAAATCAAACAGATCTGAGCCAAAGTGATATAGATATTATAAAAAATTAAATGAGCAATTAATCATACATATGTATAGTGGTATAATGAGTGTGTGTGTCACTCCATCTGACTGAGCAGAGGAGATTCTGACTCTGTAGATGGGATAAATTTGAACAGAATGTAATCAAATTTCTCAGATGAACTGAACTTTTTGGAAGCTTCAAGAGCCTATTCTATTCTAGTCCAGTCTGTTTACTCCTAAGTCTTTCCATTTATTACTAGAAGTAGAATTTTATATCACTTTAAAAGGTGCTGGAGTAATGCATGCTGTGGATAAAACTGAGGTATGAAGAGACAGCGACCTCTTAAGTGCGTGTAGCAATACTGTAGGCCCTGGGCACTCCTTTGGGCAGATCCCACAAGAGCATCAGTGCAGGAGCCAGGGCTGGTGGGTCCAGAGCCACTGGGCAAGGACCCTGTGCACCTCAGCCCCTTCGTCTGCAAAGTGAGGATGGCAGACCCTCTTTCTCAGGACTTGTTAAAATTTACAACGTCTGCCAAGCCTCAAGTGGCACACTTGACACAGGAGAGGCCTATTAAGTGACCACTGTTGCTGCTTCTTGCCATTCCCAGCATGCCTGCTACAGAGAGCAAGATTTAGACGAGTGAGCGTTCCAAAGAACTGCAGAGTGTGATCTTTAAATATAAACAGCATTCACAGTTGGACCAACCAGCTGTCCTTAGTGAATAAAAACACCCACCAATAATTTACAAATAGCATATCAGACAGTATTAAGTAGTGATGACTTCTAGCCCACTGTACAAATGCAATAGATATTAACCACACCTAAAAACCTGCGCTCTCAGCCAAGCATGGTGGTGTAAGCTCCTAATTCCAGCTACTCAGGAGGCTGAGGTAGGAGGAGCATAAGTTCTGAGGCCAGCCTGGGCATCTTAGACCTTGTCTCAAAATATATATATTTTTCTTTAAAAAAACTAAGAGACTGGGCCTAGACTGCATGCCTATAATCCCAGCAATTTGGGAGGCTGAAGCAGGAGGATAACAAGTTCAAAGCCAGCCTCAGCAACTTAGCAAGATGCTAAGCAACTTAGCAAGACCCCATCTCAAAATAAAAAATAAAAATGGCTGGGGTTGTGGCTCAGTGGTTAAGCAATCAATCCCTGGGGCAAAAATTAATTAATTAATTAATTAATTAATTAATTTAAAAGGCTGGGGGGGGGGGGGTAGCTCAGTAGCAGAGCACTTGCCTGGCATGCACAAGACTCTGGGTTCAACTCCCAGGACCACAAAAAAAGAAAAGACCTAAGTACTTGTAGCTGGCAAACATGCTATTCAAATGGCAGAGAAAGTGTTTAGAAGATTTTCACCCTATTTACATTACAGGAAAAAAAATCCGCCCCCCTTCATTAAGTTACCACAAACTTGTATTTCTTTAAGGACAACGCAGTGCTTTCACAGCTCTGTCCAGTTAAGTGAAAATCATAGAGGACTTAAGTGCTGGTTTGGGAGGTATTTTATAGTGAGCTCCAAACTGCTCATTAGGATGATAAAGCCAAGGCCACCACAGGAGTAGCTTCAGGATCCCCAGACGGCTTCTGGGAACCACCAAGTCTTGCTAGTTCTTCAGGATAACATGGTCCTAGCAGGAAGTGCACCCATGAGCTGAGTCAGACCTCTCGTGTGGACCTGGAAGCCCACACCTGGGGCTGGCCTGTGGTACCCAGCAGGGCAGGACTGGCCAGAGTGGGATGGTGAACAGGGAGAGCCCAGCGCAGGGGGGTTCACATGAGAGCAGGCATGGACACACCAGGAACCCAGAAGACCCAAAGGGGTCTCAGACGGGGGCTGCGGGGCAACTGCAGAGGGAGGCCAGAGTCCACGCTGTGACGGCAAGAAAAAGGCCAAGTGTGACACTGAGCACAAGGCCCTCGCACAGCTCAAGCAGGCACAGCCTCTGTGAGACCCACGTGCTGCCAGCACCTGTCACTCTTGAGGATTCCCAGGTACAAAACCAACGATGTGCCAAAGCTGCGCTGTGAGGCGGGGTCGTTGTAAGTGTTCCCATCAGAGCTAGTAAGAGCTCTAACACCCACCCAGGTGCCTGTGGAGGCGTATGTGTGAGCGAGAGGCGGGAGAGACCCTAAGAGCAGGTGCAGAGGGACGGGGCAGGCAGCTGCCGCAGCAGGGGCTGATGTCTCCTGGGTGGTGCAGGCTGAGGCTGGGCCAAGGTGCGTCTTCTCGCCCTCTGGCAGTGTCCTGCGTACTACAGCCCCACTCAGCTCTGGCTGTCTCACGTCCTGAGGGTGGAGCCATGGGAGATCAGAATGAGAGGGAGGAAACTTAAATAAAGGAAAATCTAGTGGACTTCAGTGTGTTTCTGATGTTTCCCACAGGACTCTGTAAGATCCCTCCACCCCAGAAGCTGATGGCCGAGGTCACTAAAAAGGAGGAGCTCATTCAAAGGTAGGAAACACAGGTTGCCACAGGGTGGACTTGCCAGTGGATTCTGTTACTAAGGAAAGCAACAAGGATTCCCAGTTACTGTGAGAGCCACTCCCAGAGGCAGTACGGAGGAGGGACACACCTCTGCCACCAACCAGACTGTGGCCTCAGACATGTCATGGGGGCACCAGGTCTTCTCAGTGGGACCCAGTCCTGCCCTCACTTGGCCACTGAAACCCACTGTGTGTCTCCTTCCGTTTCTCAGGCTGCGCTTTCTCTTCTTGCTGGTGTCCCCTCTGGCTCACTCCTAGGCCTCGCTGAGCCCACCCCTTGGTCCCCAGCAGGACTCTCCTCACTCCAGCAGGGCCTCATCCACCTTTAAACACCTTCAATCCTATGGCTCCAGGTGTCTTTAACCAAGGCTTTCCTCCAGCTCCTCTGGATAGCTCCCTGCACATATAAAGGTGCCTCAAATTCGATGTCTAAAAGTAACATTTTGGGGCTGGGGATGTGGCTCAAGCAGTAGCGTGCTCGCCTGGCATGCGCGGGGCGCTGGGTTCCATCCTCAGCACCACATACAAATAAAATAAAGATGTTGTGTCCACTGAAAACTAAAAAATAAATATTAAAAATATTCTCTCTCTCTCTCTCTCTCTCTCTCTCTCTCTCTCTCTCTCTCTCTCTCTCTCTTTAAAAAAAAAGTAAACCTTTTTTTTTTTTGAGATGAGGTCTTGCTGTGCTGCCAGGCTGCCTTGAACTCTGGACTGCAGGCATGACCACCATGCCCAGCTTAAAAACAAACTCCTAAGGTCCTCTCCACCGCTCCGCCCTGGCAGTGCGCCCCTCTGACCCTGCTCCCCTCAGTGACACCCGCTCGTTCCGGCTGAGTGGCACTGGAGCAGCCCTAGTCTCCTTTTCTCTCACACCTGTGTCGGCAAATACTGTCGGCCTCTGCCTTCCAAAGGAATCCAGGACTCGGACACTTCTCACGACCCTGCTGCTGCCACCTCAGACCAGCCTCAGGACACTTGTGCCCCTCACCTGTCTCCCACTTTCTGCTCTGACTCAGCAACAAGCACAAGCCACACCTCGCTGCTTTCTGTTCAAACCCTGGGGTGCCTCCCTTTCCCCCAGGAAGGCTCCCGGTGGCTTCTGCAGTCCCCGGGGCACCCTCGGTGCCCACCCTTCCCTGCCCCTGCCCACCACACCTCAGCCAGGCCCAGCATCGCCCTCCTGAGCCTTCGCAGTTGGTCCCCTCTGCCTGAAGTTTCTCCCCAGGCACCTGCATGGCTCACTGCTCAAATGTCACCCCGTGAGGGAAGTCTTCCTTGACAGCATTGCATAAAACTGCCACCCGGCCACCCCACTGCCTCCCCCGCCCTGCTTGGGTCTCTCATGCGGCCCACCGCTGCCTGCAGATTACACGTCTGCTGGACTGAGCTGCTGATGGTCTGCTAGACCCCACCAGAGGGCAAACTCGGACAGCAAGGCTCTGGCCTTGCTCACTGCTGGCTCTAGAATGGTGCCTGGAATGTCTGCCTCATTGACGGACTGACTGACATGGACCTTATGAAGGTTTAAGGCAGACACAGACGAAGGCTTCACATAACGCTAGGCCCCTCTCCGTGTCTAGCTCCGTTCTGGTACAGCAAGCTGTGGCCCCTCAGCTCCCAATCACATGAATAAAAATGTAGGTGCCCATGCACGCGAAGCCTGCTGGCCCTCCTCACCCACAACCACGGCTGCATTCGGACCATCACACTTTATCCTGTTCCTACCAAACGCCAGGAACAAAAGCGTCTCCTCCCAGGGCCTCCTTTCGCCTCCTCCTTCCACAGGTGGATCTTCCTCTGAAGGCCATTCCTTTAGCTTTTTCCCCTTCCGACATGGAAACCCACCTCCAAGACATGGTTTGATTCCGAGGCAGAAGTAACACCCAGGAGGAGGGTGGGCTCTGTAACACGGGAATGCGGGGCAGGGAGGATCGCCAAACCCATGCTCCCTTCTCCCCACAGGGGTGTGATCACGGACGCCACTCAGGACAAGCTCGACTACATCCTCTACCTGGATGAGCTTGCTGCGTGCATAGGCGCCAAGCCCAGCCTCCTGCTGCTGCTCCTCAGGGATCCCAGACTCGCCTGGGAAGTCTTCTTTGGACCCTGCACCCCTTACCAATACCGCCTGGTGGGCCCCGGAAGATGGGAAGGAGCCAGAAATGCCATCCTGACCCAGTGGGACAGGACCCTGAAGCCTCTCAAAACCCGAGTCCCTCCTGACACCCCCAAGCCTGCCTCCACGTCACACTGCTGGAGAGCTTGGGGTGGCCCTGTCCTGCTGGCCTCTCTCCTACTTATCTATAAGTCTTCACTTTCCAAGTGGATGCAGGACAGACTCTCCCCTCAGCTAGGGCTGTGCTTTGGGTGTGCCCCCTGGAGTTCATGGGCTGGCAGACTGGCCTCCAGCGTGGCAGCACTGAGAGGTGGGGACTAGGGGAGGGACTGGGGTCATGCAGACTCTACCTACCCTCACAAATGGATCAGTGCCACTCACAGAACTGGATTAGTTTCCATGAGGTTGTTATAAAGTGAGGCTGCCCCTTGTTTTCTCTCCTTCTAAGGCACCTGCTTGAGAGGCAAACCTCCCACCTTTCAACATGTCATGAAAGCACAGTCCTCACCAGAAGTTCCCCTAGGCCCTTGGACGTCCCAGCCTCCAGAACTGTGAGCCAAAGAAACTTATTTTCTTTATAAATTACTAATCTCAGGTCTTCTGTTACAGCCATGGAAAAATGGACTAATACACCTATAGTGTTTGGTGAGGACGAAGCTGATTGGTTTCAAGGGTCAAACCATGCCATGATGATCCTATCTTCAAGTATCTTGTGTATCCCTTCTCTCCTTCCACTGTAACGTCTACAATCCAAGTTCAGGTCTAGTCGTCTCTTAGCAGGATTATTATATTGTGTATCACTCTTTGGTCTCAGTACCCTCTTTCTCTTTCCAGTGCACATTCTATCCTGCTAGCTAAAGCAGCTACCCTAAAATAACAGTGTGATCATCATTGCCAAACATAAAAGTGTGAGCAGTCCTGCCTAAAATTAAAATGATCATCATTCATATCAGGGTCCTGAGAGGAATAAGATGATGATACTCAAATAATTTGTGGAAATTTAATATAAAGATTAATCAAGAAGATGTGAGCATTGCTGGGAAATTGTAGGGATCATAACATGCCCTCAGACTACAGTGAGGTGGCTTTACTATCCCTAGACCAAAGCAGGCCAGGAAGGAGAGGAATTACTAACCAAAGAAGGAAGGAGCTTTGTACAACAAGAGACACGGCTTTCAGCTGCGCGAGGAAGGAGGGCCTGATGGCCCCCAGAGTGGGAAGCTGAGGGGCAGACGGTCTGTACTCTCTTCCTTCCCTCATTCACCTCCAAAGCCAACCAAGAGCCTGAGGCGGGGTGCCAGCTGTTGTCCAGGAGTCGGCCTCCAGGGCCGGTCACCTTGATGTGTGTGCAGCTGAGACTACTGACTGGCAGCTGAGACCACTGGTCAAGGTCACTCCCTGGAGAAGGAGACGTGGATCATCACCTTAACTCTGGTGTCAGCCATGAGGCCCTGGCCAAGCCATGTAGCCTTTCCAAGCCTCAGTGCCCTCACCTGCAAAGTGAAGGTAACAGTAGCACCAAGTGCAGGGTGAGCAGTGAGAGACGGTGCAAGGCATCTGTGCAGAACTGAAAGACATTTCCTAATCTCTGCATTAAGGGGCTGTTGTGTAACCAGGAGCCTTGGCCTGTACAGCTCAGTCACTCTTTTGTCCTTGTGTCCCCTCCACCCTCAGATGGACTCTCCTGAATGCAGCAGGTAAACATTAGCAAAGGAGGGTTAGAAATAGCCATCCTGAAACGACCAGTGAAGGTGTCTGGGTTTACCTGTGCTCCTCGGTGGACTTCCAACCCCGCTAAAGCAGACCAACAGGAGCAACGTCCAGCTTAAGCTAACCGCACACCCGTTCTTGAGGGAGAGTGTGGAACTGAGAATGTCTCTTAGTTCATCAGAGCTTAAACTTATAATGTGCTATTTTTTCAATGCAGTAATTTTTAAATAATGAGTCAAACACTCAGAGAAGGAATTTACTCTGGTTTTCACAGAAAGGAGGAGACAGAACAGGGATTTTAACCAAATATATGCAACCCTGGAGCCACTAGCTGCCTTGGGAGGTAACTTCCCTGTTGTCTCAAGCCCTTCAATTGGTCAGTGAAGCCGGGACCTTTTCCACCTCTTCCTCCAGGAAGCCTGCGCCTGCCTGCCTGCCTGCCTGCCTGCCTGCGGGCTCCCTCCTCTGCACTGCCTTCCCACCCTGAACAGACTGGGAGCATTGTGCTTGGCAAGTCCATGACTCTAGGCCTCAAAGAACCCCCAATACCAGGAAAATCCCACTGGGAGTTAACCCATTGACTCGAGATTTGATTTGAGAATCAAATTTTCAGAGTAAATATTAGGGGAAAATACTAGGTTTGATCAAGACTTCATTGAGAAGTGAGATCAGAATTATGAAAATAAGTTTGCTTGTTCTTTTTAAATGTCTTTTGTTAATGTATTAACTTTTTAGATTTTTTTCTAATCAGTCATACATGACAGCATTTGTTTCATTGTACACAGAGCACGACTTTTCATTTCTCTGGTTGTACACAATGTAGGGTCGCACCATTTGTGCAGTCATACATGTACCTAGGGTAATGATGTCCTTCTAATTCTACCATCTTTCCTACCCACACACCCTCTCCCCCATCCCTCCCCTTTGCCCAATCCAAAATTCCTCCATTCTTTCCATGCCCCTCCCCCATTATGGGTCAGCATTCTCTTATCAGAGAGAACAAGGCACACTCATGCATGGCTGCTGGGACTGCAAATCGGTGCAACCACAGTGGAAAGCAGTACAGAGATTCCTTAGAAAACTTGGAATGGAACCACCATCTGACCCAGCTGTCCCACTCCTCAGTCTACACCCAAAGGACTTAAAATCAGCATACTACAGTGACATAGCCACATCACAATTTATAGCAGCTCAGTTCACAAAAGCTAAACCATGGAACCAACCTAGATGCCCTTCAATAGATGAATAGATAAAGAAACTGTGATTGATATATATATATATCACTAAAAGAGAATAAAATCATGGCATTTTCAGGTAAATGGATGGAACTGGAGAATATCATGCTAAGTGAAGTAAATCAATCCTAAAAAAACAAAGGCCAAATGTTTTCTCTGATACGTGGATGCTTGGCCTTTCATTTAGCCAAATTTGGATTATAACTGGAACCATCTTCTAAAAGGAATTGCCTAGTTGTGAGAATTTACATGACAGCTAGATAAAACACCTTTATGACTTCCTTTACTACATATTCAACTTTCAAAACTAGGCTATAAGTTAGCAATATTTTAATAGTCAAGGTTTTCATTGATTTTGCCAAGGAACTAAAATTTCAATCCTCTCATATTTATACAAATCTCTTTTGAAACTCCTGTCATCACACATGCCAATCATCTCTAAGCCATTCTTGAAACGTCTTCCTGGTTTAATGCTGCTAGATCCAGAGTTGCCATGGCTTAGCAGTCCTCCAGTATCACCTTTGGCAATTTTTGGGGGGAAATCCTTATTTTGCAATATATGTAATTTCACTTTGTCAATGATTTGCATTAGAGTCTGCATGATCACACAATCACCAGAGTCTGACCACAAAGACATTGGCATCCAGAAGAGGCTGTCCCGTTGAATAGGCATGTGGGTTTTAGAGAAAATAAATTTTAAGTGCTCAGTTAATTCATTCATTAACTCAACAAATATGCATTGAGCACTTACTGTGTTCCAAGCACTCTTCTAGACTGAGGTAACCATGGTCAGTAAAGAGAAAGTCCTTGACGTCATGGAACACATACTGCACTGTGACAGGCAGCGATGTGACAACTGCCAGGAAGACCAACCAAGCAAGCTTCAGAGAGGGTGGGGGAGCCAGCCAGGACGCTCACACAAAGCTTCTCTGAAGAGGTGACACCCGAAATGTTCCCAGTGGAAGCTGGGTAAAGTGAGAGAGTGGCCCCGGGACAGTCTCACGGAAGGCGTTGTTTCTGTCAGCAATCAGTAAGTGGCCTTGGGGCAGGCGTGTTAGAACAGCGGCCACCAACCTTGTTCACACCATGATGCACACAGAAGATGAAGACAGTCTTTGTGAGCCACGCTAAGATAAGCCGATAAGATATGGGGAAGGGAGATCATTGTGAGCACAGGGAAAATCATCTTTTCATATTGAAGTAAAATTGCTTAAGCCAAAAAATACCGAAATATTAAATATAGAATCTATAATATACTTCCAAATAAAATTTCACAGGTTTTGGTTAAAACTTGAATTCACCTCTAGGGGTTTTCTATCATAATTGATATCCTACGTTAACTTCTAAATAAGATTTTTAAACGATGATCTCTTTATGTTATTACAAGTTGGTATGAAAATAATGTAAAACCATTTCACAGCCATTCAAAAAAATTGAAACCGTTGAAATAATTTCTTTCATCAATAAATGTAACATTGAAAGCTTTTTGTGTTGTGAGAATGGATCCAAGTCCCATCAAACTTGCAGGACAAGCAATTCAAAGTGAGATCAAGCTTTAATAGTGAGACCCGCTCCCTTGGCTAGCGCACTCACCCTGAAGGCGCTGGGCCAAGAGGGCACAGAACTGTCTCCCGCGGGTGAGGACAGGAGCTCCAGGCCACGCACGTGCTGCGCCCACAGGAACCTTCCCTCACAGCCCCTGCCCCCCGCCCCCCAACACCCCACCCACCATCGCCACCAGGCTCCCTCACACCACCCCTCCAGCAAGGCCCCAGCTCCTGTAGACAGCGAACGTTCTGTAGGCTGGCCGAGGCGGACAACCAGGTGTTTCCCCTCCTTTCTGACTTTTCGACAGTCCCTGGAGAAGCAGGGACTGCAGGACTCAACACGCCAGGCTTCTCCTGGGGCCACGTGGAACTCGAGGTGCTCCCGCTTCCCCGGGCCCCACCTGCCAGCCCGAGGGCACAGGGTGGGAAGCTGCGTAAGAGAGGAGGAAGGCGGGGGAGTGGAGGGACCCAGTGAACCCTGTGAACAGCATTAGTGAACAGGCTGCATGTGACAGCTTCAGAAATACAGGTACTAGAGAGTCTCCTTGCCATCATTTCTTCACGTCTCTTCCTGGTAGTGCGCTCTTTGAACACAGACTGACAGCCAGTTCATAAAGCAGCCCACCAGGCGGACCTGCGTTTCTCCAGGCCAACAGGCTTCTGACCGTCTCCCTGATTCACTGAGTCCTGGGAACGGTGTCATGCCTAGAGCTATGGGTCAGGTCTTTGGGGCTCTCAGTAGTTCTGACGCCTGTGTCTCCGGGAATGAAGAATGCACGGTTAATTCTCCCAAATCCTTACATTCCAAAAGTCCTTCCTACCAGTAGGTAAGACTACACATGCTCTACAGAAGCTCCAAGAGACTTCCCCTGCAGTAGCCTGATGCCATTCTAGATTCCCCCTTTATCCGGCCTCCTGGTGGATTCCCTAATCAGAATAAATCCTTCCGAGGAGTCCACGATGGTTGTAACATGGTCCCAATGCACACTGGTCACCACTTTAGCTGACTAACTTAATGAAGCATCCATTCTGCACAGGTGACAAAGATCCTGTAACTGACCACAGACAATGAAAATGGACCACAGTCCACCAAAAACAATGTTTGGTATGAAAAGCTGGGGGAGAGAAGATGGCTTTCTTTTCAAACAAACATAGAGGCCATGCACAAAGATAGTAATGGGTAATCAACCCATTGTGTGAATTACTCGAAACAAATATTTTTTAAAAAAACACAAATATTGAAGTCTAAGAAGAACTCTTAGTTTCTATATTGCTGCTAAAATCTGTTTCTCTAAGATAATCCATTTTCAGTACAGTTTCAATCCACCGCACAGAGTCAAAAGTTTTGTTTTACACATATATCTTGCTTGCTGTGCTGACCTTAGGAATCTACAACTGCCTTTCTTGCTCCTTCATTCCATCCCTGTCCAAGATTTCTGATCTATGCACATCCAGGTGCAGCTGGGTAACCTTTCTCTGGATCAGGATATCTTCTCCCTTTGAGTCTAGCTGATCAAAACTGTGCAGGTGGGGAAGAAGACGGCATAAACTCTCACCCCAGTCAAACTGTCTGCATCAGCATTCCCACTGTGACTCTCTGTCGCTGATGACCCGGGATTGGACACACTGCCCGGCTTTGCTCTGTAACTGAGCCGGTTTCTCCTCGTTGCCTGTGCGTGCCTGTGGGTCTGTGTGTAACACCCTTCCACGCGGTCTTTGTCCTAAGTCATAATGCCTGACATTCAACAGTTGCCCCTTTGTTCTCTTCCGATTTCAGGATCTAATTTTCAACACATACGGTCTCTCTTCCTCATGACCATTCGAGAAGTGTGCTTAGTGTGTTTGAAGATGATTATCAAGTACTTAGAGTGTGGCTCCAAGGCACCTGTCCCAGGAAAACTTCTGTGTGGGTTTTGTATCGCCCCGTGCCGTCTCTAGGCCCTGACTTGGTACTCTGGCGGAAGGGAACGCTGGTTCATGCTCGCGGTAAGCCCGCTGAGCAATTCCTGAGTCCCCAGCTCCCTCTTCGGTGCATTCTGCTGGGCCACACAGCCCCTCCCAGCTGCCCCTGCTGCCACTCCCCTCCTGCATGCAGAGCGCCCTCTTGGCTTCAGGGCTGCTGTGGAGTGCACAGTGGTACACCACAGCTGATCTGGCCTTCTTCAAGACCACACTGGGCTGGAGGATGAAAACAGAGTCCTGGACTTCTGTCCTGGACATCCCCGACACTCTGCACCGCAACAGATTTCCCAGATGAAACTCAGACACAGCCCTTACCTGTGGCCCACACTGCTCAATGCACTTGACACACCACTCACCTGACCCTAATAGCAACCTTTGAAAGAAGTGTAACAGATGCCCTCACCTTACAGATGAGAAAACTGAGGAAGAGGTTATCTAATTTGGGAAAGTCTCATGGATACTAAGAATGGAAGCAAGATTCCAACTGGGGCAGAGCTTTGCTCTGGAGTCCCTGCACGTAACCACCCCACAGCTAGAGCGTCACAGACGTTACAGGTTAGAAGGGAGGCTGCCTGCTCAGACTGCCCAAGAGCAACGTCACGGAGCATGAATGTAAGGTCTCTGCTTGACTGTCCTCCCAAGGAGTATTCTTCTCTTTAGGAGAAGTGACCATTTTCTGACTTTTCTACTTATTAATAATTAGGAACTCTGTGAAGCTATACTGACTTGTAGATTTATGACCAATAAATATGCAGCAGGAGATATATCAGGAGTTTGTGATTTTCACTATCAAACATTAAACCAAGAAAACTTATTCTAACATTTCTTTATTAAATTATTTATAAACACCCTCAAATGCTCTTCAAATCAGCTTCACCGTCACACTGTCTCAATCAGTAATTAATGAGATGCCAGGCGTGGTGGCACATGTCTGTAATCCCAGTGGCTCAGGAGGCTGAGGCAGGAGAATCAAGAGTTCAAAGCCAGCCTCAGCAACTTAGTGAGGCTCTAAATAACTTAGTGAAACCCTGTCTCTAAATAAAATACTTTTTAAAAAGCTGGGGATGTGGCTCAGTGGTTAAGCACCCCTGGTTTCAATACCTAATACCCTCCCCTCCTCAAAAAAAAGAAAATTAATGAGATAAAATTTTGACAATTGTTAACTCAATGTTTGCAAACAAAAAACTTGTTTTTAAACTTCTGAAAATTATACTTTCATGCTCTGGGAGTAAATTACACACAAGGGCTCTCTTGACACATACAGTCTTTTTCCCAATTAAATCTGGTGCTATGGTTGGGAAACTGCTTGTCCTGAGGGGTTCTCAGGGTGGAAGCATGGTCCATGGTGTGGACTGTGAGAGATGGGGTCTGGTGGGAAATAATTAGGTCACAGGTGCATGGCCCTCCCTCTAAAGGAATCAATCTGCTTCTCAGGAGACCCTGGTTTTTACGACAGAGCAAGGCTGGCCGCACCCTGCTCTCTGACTTCCTATCTCACCATGCATTCTCCTTCCCTCTCAGGAATTCATGCCTTCATGATGCCATCTGCTATCAGGCCCTCGGCAGAGGGGACCACAGCCAGCACCGTGTTGTTTGGTGCTGTGAGCTAAACAAATCTCGGGTCCGGCTGCCCAGCCTCAGCTATTTTGTTACAGCAACAGAAAATGGACCGAGACATATGGGGAGAAGCACATGTCTGATGCCTACAACCACTCAAAAGTCACAGGCAGCATCATGCAGAGAACGGGGCATGAACTTGGAAGCAAGACAGACCTGGGTTCAAGCAGCACTGTGTCTACTTCCTAGTTTAACCTGTAATTCACTCCTCTTCTCTAAGTCCCACTCTACATCCATAAGATGAGGACAGGTGTTTCTACCACCTGGGTTAGTGTGACACCCATGAAGTCATGCATCCAGCATTTACCATGGTGCCAGGGGCCCTAGCGGGTGCTCAGTCACCCTCCCTTTCTCAGCAGGGTGCCAGCAAATGCTTACCAGCCAGTTTTCCAAATGAGAGCCTTGCCTGTGCTGTGTGCAGATTCCCAGGGTACAGACACTCCCACCACGGCTGCCTCCAACCACCTGCCTGGCCCAGAGTTGGAAAGAAGCATGCACAACCATCCCTTGGGAGCCTGCAAAAGCTTCTCTTCCTCCCACCCTCCACCAGATTGCAGCTCAAACGCCCCTTCATTGAAGAGTTGCCCCAACTCCCCAACCAGGTCAAGTGTCCCTTTTTTTTTTCCTCACAGCAATCTGTATGTTTGTCTCAAAATCCTTCTCAAAATTCATAGTCATCAGTCACTTTATCACAACCATTAGATTGCGAGTGCCGTGGAGACAGAACCATACCCATTTTCCTCTCCAGTACATCCCCAGATCCCCAGCATTAACTGACCGATCAAGCAAACGAGCGATTGAGGAGGAAAGGTAGGTGGATGGGTAAGTGGGTGGGTGGATGGATGGATAGATGGTTGTTTAGAATTTTGTCTCTCTTCCAAACTCTGAGAGGCCACTTCTCTAAATTTTTACTAGTGCTCAGTTCTTCCCTGAACTCTCTGGAACAAAACTGCTCAAATTCTATTTAGAAGTTAACCATTTTCTGATGGCTGAAGATCACAGCACAGGGGCAGATTTCCTGGATCGGTCATGTGAATTCCAAGGAGTACATCACTCTTCAGGGTTCAGTTCCATCAGTGAATTGGATATTCTGATGCTAACTACTGCTTCAGTTGAGTGAGCGTGGACTCACTGTGCCTCAAAACTTGGCCTCTATAAGCAAGATAAATCCCCAAGGTCTGCTTTGGAACTTGGGTCCACATACCAACTTTGTTTTCTTCTGCATGTTTCATAACACTACTGATATATAATAACTTCTGTCCAAGTTACAAACTAAGATCAAAATTCTCAAGGGCTTGACTCTTCCCGGGAAATTATTTATAACTAGAAATATTTTCTCATAGTCCGAATTAGCACCTC